ATATCAGGTTTATGCAAAATATCAAAACAATCGCATTAACGCGTCAAGCTCAGTCATCACATAAATCCTTTTAAAAGGACTCGATTCAAGAAAAGAGCTGGGAATCCTGATTTAAATGGAAAGTATAATTTCTGAAGATTGTCATTTCAAGCTGTTACTCATTCGCTAATGAGTAATTAATAGTTTTATTTATCAAATAAGTTAGTTTTCTTGTATCCTAATTTTTTTTTATATATTTGATATATCAGGCCCAGTTACTTTTAAATTTCTCAAGTCATGGTGATAACGTTTTCGTACTTTTTTAAATATTTAAAATGTTTAATTAGTTTTTGGATGGTAACTTGGAAATGAATACATAGTTTTTTTAAAAGAAAATAACGTATTCTGTCCGGAAAATTCTCTTGGTAGCATGGTAATACATCCATTTTTAAAAATAGCAAAGTCCATACATGATTTGAATCTTGATTTGAGTACAGACGGTTTTTTGTATATAGTGGCTTTGAGAATTTAAATATATTAACCGACGATCATCTTCAATTCATGAAAAAGATCATTTCTAGTCATTTTTCTCCAGTGTTACAAACTTTATCAAAATCTTAATGCTGTGAGAATTCGTAGCTGAACATTTTAGTAAGAAATAAAAAGTTTGAAAACTATGATATTAACTATGATATAACTACGACATTAGCTGTGATTATAACCCTGGTATTACATATATAAACTATGGTATTCAACATATAAAAAGTAAAGAACTTTACAGTTATTTCCATACAAATATGAGTATTTGTTTTTGCATGCGAAGAAAAGAAAAATTTAATAAGTAAATGAAAGAGACTAGGTTGCCGTTATTTATTCCGAAGTTTTATTTCACTTGAAAAGTTTTCGTAATTTGTTTGTTTTGAGTTAAAGCAAGTTGTTTAATGGTTAATTTAATATATTAGAATTATTTCAAATGAATGTGTCTGAAAATTTAATATTTATCTGTCAATATATTTGAATTACTAAATGTAAGCAACAGAAATTTCTTACAGATACCAATCTTTCGATTTCAGATTGAAAACGAGTATACATTTTAATATTTTCTTCGCGTCATTTTTATTACTGTTTATGAGTATACTGATAAATAGTTAGCAAATAAAATTTTAAATTTAGTTAAAGTATTTGATTTAGAAAAGTTTCATTTTCTTAAAAAAACATTTTTGGGCATGTCATTGTTTTCATATTTTGCATCTAGCCCGCGTGCAGTTTGAGTTTCATTTGGTTTGTTTCGTAGCAACGAAGCACATGAGGGCTACCTATCTAAGAGGAGGGATGCCTTCGTAGAGGACCTTATAAGGGAAACTGGCTCGTATCCACGTTACACATGGGAAAAAGCACGAAAGCGCCTCTGGAATCGAAGGTCGAATTCGAATTACCAGTGTTCAAAGTTTTACCACTCGTCTGAGTTTGAAATCATTGTTGTAAAGAAGTCATTTGTATGGATTAGATTTGTTAAAGTTTCAAGTATGTATTCAGAACATCAAGCTGCCAGTCAGAATAAAGGTGACAAGAGCAGTTTGTGAGGGATTTATAAGTAGAAAAATTACTATTGAGCTCATGTAATGCAAACTGGATTTGTGAGGAGCTTACAGGAGGCTGTTGGAAATAAATAGCTTCGTTTAAATTTCGTGGATAATTTTATTTGTGTACTAAGTTGTTCATCCCATTAATTTTGTCTTAATGTATACACATTTTAATTATTAAAATTGATTAACATTAGCATAAAACTCTGGACTATTAAAAATGTGTCACTAAAAGAAGAAAACTGATGTCTAGCAAAAAGAACTGAATTATAATTAATGTCGCAATTTTATTTTATTGTTTATGGAATTATATGCATAATTTTGTGCTGAGGAGAAAAAAAAATAGAAGTTTGTTTTGAGGATACTGTCGTTTCTTCTATTTCTTCTGATTTCTTGCTCAATTTTCAGTTAATCATTTGAAAATATGCTCTAATTTTATTAAACTCAGTAAAATCAGTAATTTTAGCATATTTTGGCTAATGATAAAATGTTTGTATTTTTAGTGAATAGTATATTTCGCTTGAGTATGCTGAATTTAAAAAAGGAACAACATGTTGAACAATTAATTAAACAAACTGAATCATTTATTTTCTGCAATTCAACAGCATAAATAATATTTCTGGCTTTATCACAAGACGGATAACAAAGACACACGCCAAGACAAGCAGGCCATACTTACACATAGACATATATTCACTCATAGATTTATCACAAAAGTCGACATGGCAGGAATAGACAGAAAGGTAAACTCACACAGACAAGCACTGAAACAAAAATCTGAAAGCTTTTCAAATTTTATCTTACCCAGAAAGAAACATTTTCTTCATTTACACACACATGCACGTTTCGAGAGCGTTTGGACTAATACCCCTTTAGCCTAAAAGTATTTAAAAATAGCATATATTTAGAATTTCCCATAGACAGTCTCGCGAGTTGGAGATAAAAATGTTTTATTTCGTACAAAGTTGTCGCTGCTTGCTTTGAAATCGTTGAGTTATCTTAATCCAAAATTCATTAATTCTTTACAAAATATGGAGTAGATAATAAGACAAATTCCATTTTCGGGCTTTCAGCTCCCATATTTGGGTGGAGGACTACGTTATTCAAAATTTGATAGCTCTATGTACTGTTGTTATTTCACAATGCGAGAAACATACATATACATTCATGCAGATTTTTCATTATTTAATTTCTTTAAATGTAATTCAGGGTTATAATATTTGGTGGCAACATTTTTTTTTAGTGATTCAACGTATAGGGCCGTTTCGAGGCAAATAACCTTTCTGGGCCAATGTCTTTTGGGCTAAACACTGCAAATATTGTAGAAAATGTGTAAGAAGATGCATGATTGTTTTTCGTGGTTTTCCTCGTGTAGCGTGAATACGAACCAGTTACTCTCAGAAAGCCCTCCTCTTGGGCAGGTATCTCAGGCGGCTTTGCCATATTCAAATGAGCAACCAACTAAAATAAACAGTTAAGACAGAAATCTGCAAAATGGCTGATGCATAAGCATTCAGTAGAGAGTTAAAGCTACATGGTTAATATGAAAAGAACATGAGGACATTAAGAAAATTAGAAAGAATAGGGAAGAAATTATATTTAAAACTCAGACACAGATTTTTATGGGGAACAACAAGAACATTGGTTGGGTGATGTGTTATGTTGTAAAGACATTAGGTATTTTTTGAAAGCAGGAGAGATGAAAAACAAACAAAGCCTTCGCTGGGACTCGAAACACGGGCTTCTCGAATACGCGCCGAGCCTGCTGACCACTATACTACGAAGACATGCTAAGAAGGCGGGAGAAATACCTTATAATGCATTTATCTGGTGTAGAAAGGCAGAAATATAAATGAAAGTATTCTAAACACAAGAGTTGTGAGAAGGAGATTATACTCGTAAATACTGAAGTATACATTGCGAAAGAAGAATATAAATTTAAGACATTTGATAAAGAATGATATTGAATGCATTTTTGTACTGCGGAATAAAATCTTAATTATTTGCATTATGTGAGTAAAAAAAATTCTTTTACCTTAAGATAACGCTTAATATTTTAAAATCGTGTTCTGCTGAGAACAATATCTTTGCGCAGTTTACTGTGAAACAAATAAACTGGTTCGATTAAAGTATTAGTAGAAATAAGCAGAATGTTGAAAAAAATCTCTCAATCAACAATCAATCTCTCAATCAGTCTTCAATCAACGCTTGTGATACATAATCTGTGAGTTAGTGAAATTCCAATCAGAAAGAATTTTCTGATTATTTGCTCATTTTTATGTCGAACTTCATGTTTTTGATTTGATGATGGAACTTTTTGCAAATTTCATGCTGTATTCTTCGATAAAAATAATGTAAAATTCGTTTCCAAAATGCATATTATTTCGAAAGAAGCACTTTACAAAACTTACTTATATTTAAATAGTTCTAAAAATGACCTTTTTAAGAATAATACGCCAATAATTTACATATTTTACTTCGAAATATGGTACATCACTCTCGTCAAAGCAAGAAGAAAATGGTGTTCTAAAATAAAGCCTCTTTATGTGTTTAAATGCGAATTTCAATCAACGGTTTCGACACAAATTACGCATCTTCTATCACGTGGACATGTATGAAAGTTACGAGTATAAATTTCGAGATCATGCAAAACATTTCAGTGCATATACGGAGGGAGGAAGATGTTGTTTTGAGAAACAAAGGTTTAACTTAATCGGAAATAACATTCAAAACAAATGGAAATTTTATAATTTCTTCCAATTTTATCAAAAATAAAGAAACTTCACAAAAAGTATCCCCGAATATATTAAAATGTTAACTAACTATCAGAAAAGAAGACTTTTTATGAGCTACACTGAACGTTACCTTGAAACAGAAAACAGCTTATGAAGTTTTTGTAAGAAATAACCTTTGCAAAGTTTCCTTATTTCGAAATATGAAGGAAATTTTTGTCTCTTTTTTTTTTTTTTTTCGCAGAGTGTAAATCTAAATTATAATATGTAACGAATGTATAATTTCTTCTGCGTCTGTAAAAGGTTATTAGAAAGTTGTTTGAGTATAGCTAAAGGATTTTTTTCTCAATATTATGCTATGAGCAAAGCAATTTTTCTAGAAAATGTTGTTTAATATGCTTATTTTTTTAAAGTTCAAAAACAAGATTTTCTGAAAAATATTCTTTCTTTAAAAAACAGCTTAACATTCTAAAACTATTATTTGTTTGAGTTATAATATGAATACCGTATTACATGGAGTTTAAACCTCTGGTAGTAGTTTAAAATTAAAAATCAAAGAAAATAATAAATAACAGCTTCGTGTTTAAGCCGCAACCTTATTTTACGTTTTAAAATTTGAATAAACAGGGCGGTTTTGATTCGAAGTAATATGGTATTGTAATATAATGAAACATCAGGTGCTAGAATCAAATTTCAAGGTACTAAATTTGGATATAAAACATTTATTAACATTCTTTCCAAGTGTTTCCGTCTTCACTTATTGCTGCCAAAGTACTGCCTGCTGTTAGTCACCCTTTGTAATAGTAAAATGTCAGAAAGAACAAAGTTATCTGTAATATTCCGCATGTTTTTTTGGAATTCGTCGCTAAAATGTAATGAGACAATTGTTGATAACATCCGCAAACATTACAAAAATTCTCTTCGTTTTCCGTTATAAACTTTTGTTGGAAGATTTACAGTTTTTCAGTAAGCATCAGCATATGCTAGATATATTTCTGAGAAATCTTCCAAATTATAAATAACACTTATATTTGTTTAATGAGACGTGGCACTAATAGATATTTTTAAAGTTTTTGGCTGATAAATGACTTTAGCATAACTATCACCATATATTCGTGTACCATAACCGGCATATGATGTGGGTTCCGTTGAATGTACCTCTTCGTTTAGAGGTCCGGTTCTTTTGGTATCATACACTGGTCGTTTGTACACTGGCCTCTTAGCGCTAGATTTGTATCCTGGAGGTGTATCATCCAAGTATTCTGGTTCATGCTCGTAATCTTTATCCTTCTTGTACTGCTGTTTGGCTCCAAGATCACTATACTCTTCAGCCGCATAAGCTTTGGGGCCACCACCACGAAGCGATGCTTGATGAGCGGCTGCTATCTCAGCATACGTGTTGCCTGGTGCCACCTTCGCCGGTATTGCAACTGGATATCGATCATCGTCATCCTCAGAGCTTGCACTTTTAGACCCATAATCCCGGATGAAATCTGACATTTTGTAACCACCTACAGATTTAATGTAACCATGTTCTTTTTGGTATGTTTTTTTGCCATTGTAGTTACCACCTTTGTAATGTGAAGGAGGTGCTTGATAATCATTTGAGTCGTACGCACTGTCTGCTCCAGAGTGATAACTGCTGTCTTTATAATGTGTTTCTGGGTTTGCCGAGTAATCGCTTCCCTTGTAATGCGTCCCAGAATCTGGAGCGCTGTTGTAATCTGTTCCTTTATAGTGTGTTTCGGGATTAGGAGCACCGCTATAATCTGTTCCTTTGAAGTGTGTTCCAGGATTAGGAGGCCTATTGTAATTTGTTCCTTTGAAGTGTGTTCCAGGATTAGGAGGGCTATTGTAGTCTTTTCCTTTGAAGTGTGTTCCGGGATTCGGAGGGATATTATAATCTGTTCCTTTGTAATGTGTTTCAAAAGGCGGCGCACTTTTATAATCTGTTCCTTTATAGTGTGTCTTCTCAGGTTCACTGTATAGGCTGCCTTTGTAATGAAGATGTCCGTTCCCAATGAAGCCGCTGCCCTTGTAATGCATGGAAGATGAAGGAAATTTAGCGTAAACACTTCCACTGAAGTCGCCACCACCTGCAGAAAAAAATTAAAAATTAAAATACTTTAAGAAGCAATATACACGGTGGATTTTAACTAGTCAGGTATATTACGCTTAAATGGTAATGTGTTTGAATTTAAGCGTTTTTAAAATTCATTGCTGCGCTGTAGATGAAAATGAATTTGTCATCTTGAACAAGAGCAATTGGAAAATCTATACTTTGTTTAATACTGGCTTCAAACGAAGGGTCTCATGCATTTTAAATGAGAAGCGATAAGGTCATCTCTTTTCAATAACTAAATGTTTGCACATGCATGCTATTTTAATTAAAATATAAATATAATGCGATAGAGATTTAGACCTGTGGAGGAAGAAAGTAAATAAAGGAAATTTATAAAATGAAATATAGAAAGCATTAGAATTAAGAGAGTTAGCTAGACTTCTTTTTGTGATTTGTAAGCATTTTCAAGGCATTCTATTTCACAAGTTCAGGCTGTATTAGATAGTTTAGCTGAAAAGAAATTTTAAATCACATTAATTTAACCACGCTTATAGAAGGGTAATAATAAATTAAAGATTAAATTCCGTATTCACTCTTTTTACGCCTAGCTTTTTTTAGCATATGATTGATGAACTTCCGATTTGTGGTAACAGTGTAAAATTCATGTACAAATAAGAAATTATTCTATGTAAATAAAATGAATATTTTTGAAATTTATACGATAAAATGAGTACCATGTTCGCTTGGGGACTCACGGGGCGTCCTGCGACAAGCTGACCACTTGTCCAGGGTAGCTGCTCATGTACCCCGGCTCCCACGGTCTAGAAAGCAGATACAAGGCCACTGCAGGCCATGGCTGACTGAGGGCTGTTGCGCTGTTGAGGTTTTGTATTCAAATTTGAAATACGTAATGTAATTAATGTGTCTTTATAGATGCTTTTTAATGTGCTGTGTTCATCATTTAAGCCTATTTAAGAAATACTATACCTCGCGCACTTTTCCCGTTCCAGTTTTTAAGAGATAAAATTAGTAGGAAAAAGGGGGAATGCGTGTAGATACGGTATTTAGTTAATTTCCTTTTTTTAAAATTAAGATTCGTGTTTAATGAGAAATTTTAAAAACTTGTATGGCAGTTTAATACTTAGTAGATTTCTCTCGCGAACAGAAAATCGTAGATATTGGGTATGAGGAGACTGGTGAAAATATTCGGTTGGCAATTAACATCGTATTTACACTGAGTGGTTCGTAATTCAGTGCTATTCCGAGATATGGGGTAACTGTGTGTTCCACAGCTTATTGCCTAGCATTCCAGATGTGTTCGATAGCGTTGAGATATGACGACTTATTTAAACGTATCTGAAAACTTCTGTGGCAGTGCATTGTATTGTTGGTATGAGCTAAACGCTTCATAATGGATGCAAGATTTGAAATGTTGCAGCTCGCCATAAAGATGGCCCCATAGCTTTCATCTGGCAGAGACGCTTGATGATGTAGCATGTATCCCAATGAATGCATTCCGCGCATTAGGAAGTCATCGTTAAACTGGTCAGCCAGATGTTCGCATCCATGGTCCGTAGTTATCTTAAAGTACGTATTCTTCCAATTGCCTGAAGTAATTGGAAACGTGGCTCTAAGTTTAGCAACTCGTTTCTTGTCACCAGGCTCAAGATCTTTTCATAGCTGTTCTCTCGATAATTCTTTGTATGATTCCATGCAAAAGTGTAAATTCGCCTTAATTACAACATTTTAACTAACTTTGAAAATCGTATAATCGTAGTAAAAATAAATAAATAGTAGTAACAATAAATGAATAAGTCGTAAATAAATAAATCGCAGTAATTTGCCATTCTCATGACAAAGATAGTTCTAGATGCTTTTACAGATATTTATCTCTTTAGAGACATACCGGCGAACGCAGCCAGTGGCATTCATTGACGGCTTTGCTATGTATTTTGCATAAGCTCATCTGTAGACTGATGTGCTTTTAGCAGCTTCAGTGCATGCAGAATGCAGACAGGTAGCGAGAAGGACGTTACGAATTTTCTGAACATTTAGATCTTCTAGGAATATCGCATCTGAGTCGTATTCATAAAAGTTAATCATATAACATTTGCTCAGAATAATTTTTGAAAAAGGGTGTAAGGTTCTGTATCATTTTTCATTTGAAATATATTGAAGCTTTTGGTCCGAGAATGCCAACAAAGGCATTCTTGGACCGAACATGTAATATATGTACATTAACATTTATATTCATGTAATGTACATGTAATATCATTAACATTTATATTGCATGTTTTGAAAACCGATATCTAACTAGTAGTTAGAAAAATTTCAATTTCTGAATAAAATTACTAATTTTTTAATATAGTATGGGCCCTAGGGTAAAAATGAATAACACATACGATACTAGAGATCGTATTGTATGTGACTGAATGTGCTGACTTCTTAAGTTTGCTTCTGTGATACGTCGCTGACTCCTAGTCTGTTCAAAAGCTACTATCTATCCCCTTTGTGTCGTCGTTTCCTCCTCTTTAAATAAGTATCCTCAGCTTTTGGAAGAGACAAAACGTTTTTTCAATTGACTTTTGTTCTACTCACGTATAAACATGAATATACGACAGTTTTCTTGGAAAGTCATCCAAGGTTACTATACTGCAAGGTTTGCTTCTGTGATACGTCGCTGACTCCTAGTCTGTTCAAAAGCTACTATCTATCCCCTTTGTGTCGTCGTTTCCTCCTCTTTAAATAAGTATCCTCAGCTTTTAAAAGAGACAAAACGTTTTTTCAATTGACTTTTGTTCTACTCACGTATAAACATGAATATACGACAGTTTTCTTGGAAAGTCATCCAAGGTTACTATACTGCAAGGTTTGCTTCTGTGATACGTCGCTGACTCCTAGTCTGTTCAAAAGCTACTATCTATCCCCTTTGTGTCGTCGTTTCCTCCTCTTTAAATAAGTATCCTCAGCTTTTAAAAGAGACAAAACGTTTTTTCAATTGACTTTTGTTCTACTCACGTATAAACATGAATATACGACAGTTTTCTTGGAAAGTCTTCCACGAAGCACTTCATCTTAAGATAATATTCCTCGAGTACTTCTCCTTAATAAATTACTTAAACTAACCTTACTTTAATCAGATTTCGTATCATGAATTGCTCATTAGATGCATAAAAATATAAAAGTGATTCTTTGATTTTTTTTGAAAGCATAATTGTAAAATAGGATGTGAAGATATTTAAAGACGAAAACAACCTATGTTTGGAACGACAGGAAACTTTATAGGTGCTTAAACTGAAAAGAAATTAAGCTGCAAGAAATTGTATACCGTTTTCCAAATCTTAGCGTCAAACTCAGTGGAGTAAAAATAAAATACATGGCAAAATATCATTACATAGATGTATTTATTTATATTATTTCTAAAACTAACATCACGTATGATTTCCTTTCAGGTTTGGCAAAAAATGTTGTTTTCAATCCGAAAATGTCTAGACATTAGTTTACTGTTATTTTTTTTTCCTAGTTAAATTCCTTTTAGTTTTATCCGTATTTATATTTTATTTTTAGGTCAGCACCAGTTGCTTTTAATGTATTATTTGTCAATTCAGATTTGAAATCTTCTGGTAAACCCTTTTATGAAATTTTTCAGTGTATCGGAACTCCATTTATTTAGACTGCAGATGTCAGGAATTAGCCATTATCCAAACTGTTTGCTTTCTTTACAGGCTGACAAAATTAAGCTTGCTTTTAATTTATGTACGTAATTTACATTTGTTTCCTTTAATTTCAAAAATGAAAAAAATAATGCAATATATAGTTTCAAAATTTATGAGAAACTTCAGTTAATTAAGAAGAATATGTACACTGCGCAAACAAAAAGGGGGGCGCAGTTCTATATCTTCCGTTCTACTGGGCCGATTAACGAAATTCAAATTGCGTTTTTCATGTCTCGAAAAGCGACTGAGGATATATATATTAAATTTATATATAGCTTTGTTCTAATGTAGGTATTTTGACACAAAATTGGACTTTTGCTGAAATGAAATGCCAGTTTTTTTCCATATTTCGGTTTTGCGGCTCAAATTATGCCTAAATATTAAATTTTGTAAAATTTGGTTCGAAATTTACCTGGGATCGAATTCCGCCGAACGGGCTGGCTGCATATCTGGTTTTCCCCATGTATAACGTGGATACGAGCCAGTTTCCTTTAAAAAGTACTTTACGAAGGCATCCCTTCCCATAGGCAGATAGCCCTCGAGTTGCTTTGCCTTAATCAAATAATCTAAATCGGTACTATTTCTGGGAACTCTTGCTGGTTCTTAATGTTATTGCACATTATTTTATATTTTATAAAACAAATATAAAATGTTCCTAAATATAACTTGTAGGGACGGTATAAAAAGGTAACTTTTGCAATTTTTCAAAATCGATTTCTTTTAAAAATATAAATACCAGAACATAAATATCTGTGCTATTAAAACAATTTTGTAATTGGAACTGTACAGTGCGTCCGCAAAACTCTCCACAGTTTGTTCCCATATCCATTGGACATAAACGTTCAAAAAATTAGGTCCATAGACGTACAATTACAAAAGTGTTTTAAATGACCCGGTATTCATGCCTTGAATTTTTAAATTAAAAAAAAATCAGCTTGTAAAAATTATGTTCTGCTTAAGAAAATTTTTGTGCGATTATTAAATTTTGTTTCTTAAGTAATAAAACTTCATATGAATATTATTAGCGTATATTTAATACTTGAGAACTTAAATTACTTAAATTAAAATAATTTTAATATTATAAGTTTAAAGAATAGTGTATCTTAGTGAATCAGAAATGACCATAATTGTGTGACCTATGGGGGAAAAAAGCTCTTCATCCGTCCAAATTTATTTTTAAGCGACCTCTCAATGCGAAAAAAAATCGATTTTGTGGCCCTGTAAAGCCCACACAGAATTGCAAGCTTTGAAATTAAATGGGTGATTTTTGTCGGGCGGAAGACAAACTTTTTGTGTTTTATTTGTAAAATGAGCATAAATTTTCATCAAATGTAACTATAGGGACCAATAGAACATATAAAAAATTAGATTTCATTTTTTTTTACAAAACTGATATTTCGAATTTATAAATGCCAAGACATGTCTTCGAATTATTTAAAAATATTTTTGGAAGTCGAAGTATAAGTTTACGACCAATACTTTAGAAAATAAAGGCCAGATAAGTAACTGTATGGACACGGTGTATGTCTGCGACTAGTGTTTTCGTAAATAAAGATTCACTTAAGGACTTTAGTGGATACGATGTATTTCGAGGTGTACAATATTAGTGATATAATCCTTTTTCTTATTGCAACAAATTTACTTGTTCTTTAATTAAATTAGCGATATAATCCTTCTCCTACTGCAACAAATTTTACTTGTTTTGTAACTAAATTAGTGATATAATCCTTTCTCCTATAACAAAAAATTTACTTGTTCCGTAACTAAATTAGTGATATAATACATTTTTATGTTACAACAGACTTACCTGTTCCGTATCCTTTAGAATACGAGTGTCCTTTAACATGGGGTTCGTTGGTGTAGACCTTTATATGACCGTCTCCATAGCTGGTTCCGTACTTGTGGCCATCTCCGTAACTGTGCTTGTAGCCCTCACTGTTGTCTGAGATGTGAGCATTGCCCTTCACCACGACTTCCTTATAGAGTGGCACACTTTCAAAGTGATAGTCGTGTACTGGAGGAGGAGTAGGTCTGCAGAAGAAAAAAAACATGATTTTTATAGTGTAACAAGCAATCATTATAATTACAGTATTATAGTTCTGTACAGAGAAATAGTTGAGAATTTATGTTTTGACTTTGCAGCTCCTTTCAATAGATTATTCATAGCATTAAACATAAATTATATAATATGCATTATAAAAGAAAAGTGTTATATTAGGTTAAAAATCGCCATTGGCACCGAAACTATTGGCTTCGATTCTTCGCAAACTTTTTGGCAGGTGCACACATTTCCGAACTTGTTGAAGGTAAGATATCCATTAAAGGCAAGTGGTTAAAACAACTTAGGGTTTTCAATAGTATTCTTTTCACAATTTTATCTTAATACAGCACGAAGAAGGACTTAATCTTCTATCGTCATACAAGCTATAGTTATCTTTCTTTCTACACGAAAGCATTTGACAGTACAAATAGTGTAATAATAATTCCCCCCCCCCGAAAAAAAAAGCTGAAAATTTTCAGATTTTAACGCTCACACGAAAGGGTTTGTTAAGGTTTTTTACGCTTTCGCTGAGCTCGGAGTCTACTCTTGCACAGGATCTTACTAAACCCCCTTTTTCGTCTTTTTAGCTTTGTTATTCAGCGTCGATTTCTTCGAACTTACACAGTACACACTTCAACAAATCACAAAACATTTATATATTGTATAGCAACATATGTTAAGGGTTTCCGATGCAGTGTTAAGTGTCAGCATACATATTTATATTTTTGCAGTCTTTTTCCAGCTTATCGTATCAGTGTTCAGTTTTCTTAATAAGATGCTTAACAAAATGTTTTTGCCTTTTCTTATTAACTTTATGTGTGTTAATATTTATTTATTAAATGTCACGTTCTCCACACTCACGCCACAAAAAATTCAGTTCAACAGCAAAATCAGAAAATATTTAAAAACAACATATCTTTAGACTTCATGAAAGAGTATTAGAGGCTGCCATACATATTTTTATATTCACTGTGTTATTTGGGTAAAAATGGTTATTATACAAAAGAAAAAGGATATAAGGTTTTTAATGAGTGCCGAAAATGTAATTTCTTAAAAATATTGAATATTTCTAATTACACATCTTACGATTTTAATACAAATCGTAAGATGTGTAATTAGAAATATTAAGTCAAAATCACATTAAAAAATAGGAAAAAAGTATTTTTAAAAACTGTGTTTATTGCTTTAAAATTGCTTAGTTTGTTACTCAGTAACCTTCCAGATTAAATTTCAATGTATCTTTGGCTTTTCTGAAGAGCAACGCATTGGCGCGTGGAATGTAAAAGTATTTTATTTCCGGCAGTGGCAAAGCAGTTCTGGTTAAAATTAAAAGATGAATAGCTTATATTTTGCCGAATGCAAACAGTTTTACGCGCTGAAGATAAAAATGTTTTATTTCGACAGCCATCCAAGCATGTACCAGATTTTGAATAGACTCACCATCCGAGCATGTGCACCTCGAATGACAGATTTTGAATTTTGAATAGACGTATTCTTCACCAGCGTATGTGCACCTCGAAGCCCAGAATTTGAATTATAATTTTATTTATTTTATGTTTCGTGTGAACATGCTTACTTATTAACAAAGTCAGCGATTTAAAAGCAATGCAAAACTTCAGATACTTATGTTTCAAAATTAATCAGAAAACTCAGCGATCTAAAAAAGTTTTGCCACATCTGGAAAGAAAATATTTTTGTCCTCTACGTGCCTATGTTTTGCCATTCAGTAAGAATGAAGAATTTTGTTTTAAATCAACATCGCCAAATAGATATTCAGGTATACTGAACGTAATCTTACATGATTGAATGGATTTGAAGATTTTGGCAAAGATAGTTGACACCAATTTCTTCATTCTTATACTGATTACATTTGGTAATTGTTTTTTCCGATTTTTCCATTTCTATGGATTAAAATGTATAAAGAAAATGCGAATTATTATTTTTTTTAAGAAAGTGGGTTTTAACTAATCGCACCGAAAGTAAAAAAATAATCTTTTTAGGTAACATCATATTCTTAAACATAACTGACTAAAAATCATGTTGTACTGTATTGAGACTTTAAGAGAATTCTAAGGTACATCAACATAGAAATGACACTTACGAGGATGACTGCATCCAGTGGCCAAATAGTTAAGATCGTTGAATACAGGAAGTTTGACCCAAGTTCGAACCCACGCAAATACGTTGATTGCGTGATTGGTTTTCGTGATTTTCTCTAATGTGTAAGGTGAATATGAATCAGTTTCCTTTAGAAAGTCCTCCACGAAGACATCCCTTCCCTCAAATGCATAGCCCTTGGTTGCTTTGCCATTGTCACAAAATCCACGATTACATTTAGTTAATTTACTTCGACCCTAGCTCAGACCCTGGTGAATGGCCTGGCTGCATGTTTTTTTTTTTTTTTTTTTTTTTTTTTTTTTTATGTAACATTAAAACAAGTCAATTTTCTCTCAGAAAATCTTCCACAAAAGTTTTTTTTAGCTTTTAGATAGATAGAAGAGATGTGCTTTGCCGTAATCAAATAAAGGAAGTTAAAATTATTTTATTTTAAAAACTTAACTATTTTTTATTTTCATTTTTTATCTTACTTATACACGACATTTAGCAGTAGCTGCGATATGTAAAGCAAATTTTCACACTATGCTTTTTGGAAGAAATATTTCTAGAGTTTTTTTCTTTGATATTCCTCTCCGAAGATTTTCGAAGATCCTTAGGCTGATGTGGTTTCCAAGTTGAGAAAGAATCATTCTCCAAGAGAAGAGGGAAAAAAAAGAAAAGAGATAAGCTTCTTTTCTTAACCTTTTTCGCGTTGAACATACCACCGCCCGTTAGTAGAAAACATTTTTTTTTCATCCTCATGTGTGAAATAGTTACTTGAATTTTTTTGTCGCCTATTCTTTCTCGGTCTTTTCAACTACACCTTCCCACTTTGGAGATCCTGTCAGGGAGGTCTCGGCCTATTATCGCCCGTCTTTGTCACCACCGGAAAATTTACGATCCCTCATTGCCTCCTCCAGCGAAAGAAAAATGCGAACTGTGAATAGTGTTGCCGTCGAATTATTGCCTAGATTTGGAAAGACTTCAAAAATTCTGCTTTTCCTCTTTGGAGCATAGTATCCGCACGAGGGCGCTTGTGGCGACGGTTATTATTATTTTTTGTATTTATTTTTTTGATAAAATACCGTGGCGTTTCTGGTCGGTTTATAGCCCAAGAGTTGGAGGAAACGTTTCCTCTTGAAACATCCATCCACAGTAGGTAGCACTGCAATAAAGATGACTCGCATATCAGATGCCGAAAGTGACCCAGTTTTCGTGAACGCTTAGTTTTCGAGGATGTCTGCCTCGATACCAGGCGAAAAACATGAGGTAAAAATATTCCCTGAATAATCCACAGTTAGAAAAGAGAAAGGGGAACATAGACAGTATTTATAACCAATAAAATGTCTCTCTTAGGATGCAAAAACACTCGAAGTTAAGCAATCTGGTATTTTAAATTTTACTTCAGTTTAATATCTGAGAAATGTACCACTATATAATAAATAATACAAGAAACAAAGGATATATCTTTGTTCATAAAAACAAAAATGTGAGCTTTCCGAGATTTAGTTGGAATTACGTCAAACGAAAAGTTTATATCAAACGAAAAATTTTTCACGAAATCCCAACTATGCGCTGTAAACTGTAATAACCAGTGGAAATATTTATAAATAAAAAAAAAATTAAATTCAAAACACAATCAGCTTGGAATAAAGAGCTGATAGTAATTAAAAATTATTTTGCAAAAATAAGAGATTATTGTGGAAAAATAAGATAACGAGTCCAGTTTTTAAATTCTTCATATTCTTTATTATTTAATTTCTTTAAAATAATACATGTCTATAAGATCTGATGGCAACAGTTTAAAAAATGAAACGAATAAAAAGAAAGTGAGGTTCGAGACTAATAAGCATTTCTGGTACTAACTATACGAGCAAACAAAATTGAAAAATTCCATAAGAAAAGCTTAAATAGATTTAGTTTAAGAAATGAGTCTTAGATTTGAGTTTATCGGTAAAATGAAAATATTATGCACAGAGTAATTTTGGGAGGGGGATTATTTACGTATTATCCCGTGGAGCTGGCTACCATAAAACCATGAAAGCTGCGCCAATCGTTCCTGCGGAATTCTGAAGGGCCTAACGCCTATTTATTGAATAACCAATTAGTATCCGATACGCTTCGTTTTTGCGTTTTGTAAAAAGGCTTTCGTCGATTTCTGTTATTTTGTTAGACCCTCTAGTTTTAGCGGAAGTTTTCTTTAGAAGGCTACGAGTACAAACTTCCCTTAGGGTAATTGTTCTATAATCTGTTATTTTTTTTAGTCATATTCAGCTGACCACATCACGTTCCTTAATATACGCTTTATTTTGAAGACAGAATCACCTATCTTTGACATATTCCACTGCTTGTTGTTTTGCAGAAGTCAGGTTCCAAATTTTAATCATTTCTTTCAAAATGCAATTAAAAACACAGCAATAATGACAATTAATTTATATCTTTGTTCATAAAAACAAAAAGGTAAGCTTTCCGAAATTTAGTGGAATTACGTGAAACGAAAATGCAGATGTTATGAGTATGCTGTTATCCATAATTGGCTCTAAATCGCGCTGCTTGGCGACAGTTTCACAGTCGACGAGATAATTCGTAAGTAACATTTGGGGGCGGGGGAAGAATAGCAAGCATACAAAACTGCATTAAAGAAATGAAATAGCTACACACAATAGAAATCGGATCAATAATTGCACATAATAGAAATCGGAAAATACACAATAGAAATCGGAACAATTTTTTTTTATTAATAATAACGAAATTTTTATTAAAAACACACATAGCACAAAAGCATACTCCGAATATCTTGAGGATGTTGCTCACGGGATAGGAGCAGATCCTCAGGACATCCCAAAATATCCCCATGTCACATTCCAGTATATCTTCAGGACATCGCCAGTGT